TGAGAAAAACCGTTACAGAAAACATAAATGTCAAACACTTGAGCTTTGTTTCAATTATTTACAACTCTTGAAATTCGTCACGTAAACATTTTCCGAAAACCCAAATCTCGAAAGAAAAATACTCACTCAACAGAATGACAGTTAGAGTCATAAAATCTCCGTTCTGTGTATCATAAATTTTCTCTATTCCAACACGTGTGCTCTCCTTTGTTCATTGTATTGCCAGGCTGAGGGCCTGAGACCCTCCCAAGACGCAGAACGTGACGTCACACGCTCTCCTCAGCTCCTTTTGCCCCTTTTTCCCTTTCCCTATTTTCTTTTGCGCCTTGACTTTTGCCTTGGCTTCAGTTAAAAGCTTGCGTGCGCAACTTTTCGTTAAGTGGGGGTTGTTGGACCCAACCCTTAGAAATAAGTTTAAGATTAAGTCAGTCCCACCGTGGCTGTTCGATATAGCGAACCTCCAGCTTCTCTCTTCAAATTAGTTTTTCTTGAGTTCAAAGTTATTAATATAGAGTTTTCTAAAGTTAATGTTATCACGGTGAAGTTGAAGAAAAGTTGAAGTAGTGGAATAAAGTTTTGATGTGCTCTCCTAAGCACTTGTGTACTGGATTTATTTCAACGAATTAACCCTAATCCAATTATCCTGATTATCAACGAGTCGTCTTCGATGGAGTCCTCTTCAGAGGTTTAGCGGCTAACGGATCCAGATTCAAGTTTTGGCGCTGAAATAAAATCAACGGCGCTACTGTCCTCCTAGTAACATCGGTAGGACATAACATCCCCAGAATATTGTCAAAAAAAAACATTTTCCGTTTCCACTAATTATGACCGTATGGTTACATAAAAAAATCTGATTTTTTTTTGAAAAAACAGATAATTTATTGCCTCTTAANTGCTTGGTACCCGTGGGCCCTCATTGGGTTACACCCCTGAGCTATCCGCTCAACAATTCTCATTTCCATACGCCGAGTTTCGGGGGTTTCAGTGGCGCCATCTGGCACATTTTCCTATAACCCCAACTAGCAAACCTTGCAAAAGATATCTGAAAGTATACCAAAAAGGCAGACTAATGTCCGTCCAATAGGTATCTTGCAGTCATACGATAACTTTTAGTTAACTTCTAGGTAACTTCTAGACACAAGTTACCTTTTTGGACAGACATTAGACAGCCAAAAGTTTGGTATACTTGCAGATACCCTCCAGAACTGTGCTGCTTGGGTAGTCACATCACACTCGCGTGACACCCTGTCAATATGGCGACGGTAAATATCCAAAGTTATAAACAATTATTCCAATTTTCACACACACTAGACACTCTCGCGAACTAATTCTCGTTAAAAGAACTACTTTTGACTATTTTTCGGGAGTTGTCCCGAAGGGATTAGACGCCGCTAACTCTCACAATCAGTGGAATCGGAATTGAGGCGATCAGCTGTCGCCATACTGTCTCGCTCAGTTCCCAAGCAGCACAGTTCTGGAGGGTATCTGCAAGTATACCAAAAAGGCTGTCTAATGTCTGTCCAAAAAGGTAACTTGTGTCTAGAAGTTACCTAGAAGTTAACTAAAAGTTATCGTATGACTGCAAGATACCTATTGGACGGACATTAGTCTGCCTTTTTGGTATACTTTCAGATATCTTTTGCAAGGTTTGCTAGTTGGGGTTATAGGAAAATGTGCCAGATGGCGCCACTGAAACCCCCGAAACTCGGCGTATGGAAATGAGAATTGTTGAGCGGATAGCTCAGGGGTGTAACCCAATGAGGGCCCACGGGTACCAAGCATTCCTGCATCTCACTCCCACTCGTGGAAATGGAGAAACACATTGTATTGCACTTTCCTACAGCCATAACAATAATAATAATAACCCTAATAATAATAATAATAATAATAATTATTATAATTATAATTATAATGATAATTGACAAAAACAACAAAACAAGTGAAACTCACCGTGTTTGCGCTAAATTTCGGGAAAAGCTACAATATAGAAATTTTTTGAGAAAATTCGCCGATTCTCTAATCAAAAATCCGATTTTCAAAAACAAAAAATCCAACTCTCAATTCACAAAAACTCTCAATTCGCAAGTTGAGAGTTGAATTTTTGATTCTCAATAATCT